ATGGATTATGGGCCCAGAAGAATTAGATAATTTTCTGCTAAACAGAGAAGCCAGGGTTCAAATTTAGACAGTCTGATTCCAGAGCCCATGTTTATACATTACCTTCTACTGTCTCACTGTGAATGAGGAGCCAAACCATTGCATAAACAGGGAAAGGAAATGTTTGCTGAGTATATACTTGCAGTGTTAGCAGGATTCTTTGATCTTGGCCTGTGTTGGTTTTTCTTATTTGTATTGTATAAAGGAGTTGGAAGGAAGGTAGATGTGAACTAACCAAACAGGGTTCCTAGAGTAGGCGGCTCTTAAAAGCCAATTTTCTGTATTTAACCTACTGCTTTGCTTTGTCACATAATTTTCTCTTCTGTACGGAGAATATTAATAGCAATAGCTAATAATGATTGCTTTTAACTGTAATAGGTGCTAAATCAGTGCTGTACCATCATATTCATGTTTATTGTGCAGGGATCCAAAGACCACCTATATTTCCAAATATTATCCCATATTTTCTTTCAAGATAAAGCATGTTTTCTAAGAACGAAGATTTAATCTAGAAGACCAACTAGATCTATTGTGTGTATGCGATGGAAGTATCAGGTTGGAGTGTAAAACAATTGGTAATTAATGTGTAACCCAATTAATTTGGTTAAAAGATAATCAGTATGACCAGCTCAGGAAACAGTTCATTTTATTATTTCAATCAGCAATTGAATTAGATCCATTCTGCAATTACATAATCAATTTCTCAGCAGTAGACTGCATAATAGCTAAAAAACTATCAGCCACTTACTTAGAGCTATATTGATAGGTACTATTTTAATTACACATCACTAGCTCATCTCCCAGGATGCAAACTGTGCTTTTTTTGTATGTGTTATAAAATATATATGTTCTAGTATCCAAAAAACGAATCTATGATTTAATAATTTCCAAGTCTTATTTGCAAAATAAAAGTTAGTGTATTTCTGAATTATTCATTCTAGTCGACTGTTGATTTTAGTACACCAAGCTGTGTTCATGATTATGCTTTAAATGTGGTCAACTATTTTTCATATCTTCTCTCATAAGGATGGCTGTGTTTCAGTTTTCCTACCACGTTTTATTATACTTTGCATTTCTAGTATATTCATTGCCTTAGAATTAGATTTTCATGAATATGACTGAATTTTATATTTAGATTTTCAAACGGTGGAAGAATTCACTGCACTTAAAAACTCATTCCTTAAATTAAAATACAGTAGGAAGAATATAACACTTCATTGTGGCTAAAGTTAAAAATCGTTAATTTTAGTAGATCATTTGTTGCAGTACTAGTTCTATATTGATTCCCACTCTTTACACACACAAGGTTTTTAATAGATAAATATTCAGAGAACACTTAATCTGCTATATCAGAGACATTTCACATCCTCAAGAAGAACCACATCATAAAGACAGCTATTCATATGCCAAAGAGACAGGAAAGGTTCTCAAGGATTTACTTAATCCATAGCTTTATAATTTAAACTTGAGTGGAAAAACACTTGTGGTCTAACTTTTCCTTCTCCTGTTCTTTTAAATCACCAAGAACAGCATTATTTGGTAACATGCAGAGTAACTATCCCCTTTATCTTGGTAATGCTCTTCACAATTTTCATAAATCTCTGTATTTAAATTTAATATTTAAATTAATCTCCATAGAGACCTAAAATCTCATCTTCCACCAAATTCTCACTGCCTAGCAAATATTCCAAAGAAAAGTATTGCCTCTTCACAATCTGCTGGCAAACGGCTTTTCCAGGCTTCTCTCACATCTACTGTTACTCTAAATGAGCCCTGAACCGTATTTTCTCTACTATATACTATATGCTCATACAGTCGCTAGGCCTGAAGACATTTTCTTGTAGCTCAGTCTGCTAAACTCAAGACTATTTCTATTTTACCTCCTTTGTAAAGACTTCCTTTATCACACCATATCCAGAAGTAGCACACCATTTCTACTTTTCTCTGGTATTGTGCATCTCCTGCATATTACTGATCATGTACAATGCCACTTGAGTACGATTTGATCGAATATGTGAATTGTAAAACATGTAGAAGGTAAATGACAAATGTTTGTTGAAAGTATAATTGGGGGCTGGGACCAACCAGCATAAGGGAGGCCACCATTTCTTGAAGGTACATTCTTGGCATCAGGAATGGACAATTCCCTTTGTAACACAGATTATAATTCTGAGAAAAATAAGAATCGCTCTCATATTGCCCAGTGAAGACCAGTGTGGTGGTTACATGGTCAGAGCCTACCTCAGCATTGACTTTTGCTAAGAGTACCTCAGCTTAGTTTTCAGAGTGGTATGTCTTAAACTGTGGTCCATGGACATCTTTCATCAGAATCCTCCTGAATACTTATTGGAAATGAAGCTTTTTGACCTTGTGAAGGCAGGCCCCAGGAATTTAAAATTCTAATAAGTACCCCACATGTACCCAGCTGATTCTTACATTCATTTAAAGTTTGAGACTCAGGATTCCAGTCCAACATTTAGCTTGGTAGATGTTAATAGGAGAGATTTTTTTTTAAAGCTCTATGGTGAGATATATTTAAGAAACTCTGTGTTAGCAGTAGTTAAAAGAGTTTATGGCAGAGCTTCTTAGAACTGTTAGTAAGCTATGTGTTGTGAATATTCACCATGGGAGCATAGTTTATCATGATTTTCTATGGTAGGAATCATCCTCTCCAACCAGTTTCTGGGAAAATAAACCTCAGGAATTTGGCTCCAGCAGATGTTTTTCAATCCAGAGTCAGCTGTGTGTGATTTGTTGGACAAATGAAATTGGTCCATCGAAGGTGATGCAATGGACCCCTAACGATCTCTTAATGTTAGTATGGAGATAGGATGAGAGAAATAGGCTTTGGAGAAAGAGAGACGCTCTCTTCTTTTAGCTAGTCTCTTTCTGCTCATTTCTTAATAATGCTATTTGCTTTTCTGTTTTTGTCTTACTTTTGAGGCATTCTATCTAACTTTAATTTCAGCAATACTGACTGTAAGTGGTGTGTGTGTGTGTGTGTATGTATATGTATAAAGAGGGGAGAGAAAGATAAAAAAACTGTATACTCCTCATAATCCTAATAATATTAGAATATGACTTTTTACATAGAAAACTGGACTTATGTTCTTGCTTTGGTACTATGCATATGAGTCAAAATTGCATAGCTCTTCACCTCTAAAAAACTAGCAAGACCTCATTACATAGGCCGAAAAGTAGAATAAATGTAGTTCCTAAAAATGTCAGAATAAAAATTTATAATCTGATAATTTACAGTTCATTCCTTGGTTTTAGTGTGTAAAGGATGAAGATATCTAGTGGAAACAGATGAATTGGGTCAAGTAAGATTGGAACCCATTAAAATTCTAGCCTGAACCTTGGAGGACTGGAGAGCTCGGCCACCCAAGTGATATATTACATAGGCCATTATTTGCCTCTGTGTTTCCTAATTTTTTCATCTAACCAAGAAAATGGAAGGCTCAAAAATCCTCCCCTAAAACCCTTCATTTTGGAATCTATGTTGGAACATTTAAGAAGGGATTGAAAATCACTGGGTAATATTTGCCTATTTGAGGTTTAAAACAAATCCTTAACGCAAAGAATTTTGAATGAATCAGATTCTTAAATTTATCCCATAACTCACTTTGTTATAAGATGCCTAACCTCCACAGGTATGTTTCCATTCAAGATCATTACTTCAACATTAAAACAAAGGCATGAAAACGAGCCTGCATTAACTAAGTATTCAAAGAGGGAAATCTGCCTGCTTTTCACTTGTTTGGAACAACTCATTTCAAAAGATCCAGTATATTTATATGCACAAAGCAGTATCCCCTTAATTATAATTTATTTTTGCCTATTCAAGAAAAAACACAACAGATGTATTTCTACCAACTCTTGGACGGTCACATGGCAAAAGAACAATTGCATGAATTCTTCAAATAAATGTTCAAGTATTTTGACATAAATACTTTTTCAGCATATCCTTGTTGCCATATTACAGCATTTAACCCTAATGCTATCTTTGTTGAGAATGCAGATGATGAGCAAGATGGTTTACATTCTACTCAGATCTCTTCCCTCTGTGATCAGTAAGTATCAGAAACAGAATCATCTACAGATAGCAGAGCAATTGCATTTTAAACGTCACATAGCTCCTTTATTATTCCAGCTGGCGTGTGGAAAGAAAGGTCCCTCTGTTAATGAGACTAACACTGCCAGTCCCATTATAATAGATTTAAGCAAATAAATAACATGTTTGCCATTTCTGCTCTTGTTTTTCAAGCACTATTTTTGTCACTGATCTCATTGCTACAGACATTTCAGTGGAATAACTATAATTGTTGCAGGGCTTAGGAAATGAAAATTACACATGGAGTCCCTATTTATTCTAGATAATTCAGCATATTAATCCAAATTGTCCTCAAAGCCTGTCCTCCCCAGGGTTCTTGCTCACACTTTCCATTAATGCTAACATGACAGAAAGATACAATAGGTTAGGTTCAGTGGTTCACTAATGTGTGGCAATACCTATTGCACACTTGACAAGAGAGAAATAATAGCCATGTTACTTCAAGAGGCACAAAGTCTCCTGCAAGCCAGAAAAGGGATAGTACAAGATCCATCTAAATTATTGCCAAAATTGATTCAAAATTAGGACCACTGATCTCTGGTGTTATGTAATTCAGGGAAATTAAAAGTCCACTAGGAAAAATTCCCCTCTGTATTGAGAGGCTATAAATATCATTTTATGGAAAAGTCATGCTTTTCTAATTGCTTCAATAAGTCAGCATGTTTAGACACCAACTCTGTGGCTCAATGGGCAAGCCACACTATATGATCCATTCAATCTTACTCCTTTCCAATTTAGCCACTCTCATCTAGGCACTGCATGAGTCATATTATAGTTCTTTGACATATTGAGCTTTCTTTTCGCTATCTACAGGTTTTCTGTAGCTAACCTAATGAGTAGCACATCTTTTTGTTTTTGTTTATTTGAGAAGGAGTCTCGCTCTGTCGCCAGGCTGGAGTGCAGTGGCAGAATATCGGCTCACTGGAGTCTCTGCCTTACAGGTTCCAGTGATCCTCCTGCCTCAGCCTCCCAGGTAGCTGGGATCACAGGCACATACCGCCATGCCTGGCTAATTTTTGTATTTTCAGTAGGGACGGGGTTTCACCATCAGGACCATGTTGGCCACAATGGTCCTGATCTCCTGACCTCATGATCCGCCCGCCTTAGCCTCCCAGTGTTAGGATTACAGGCGTAAGCCACTGTGCCAGGCCGAATAGGACATCTTTTAAATATTATCTTGTACTGACGACTCCCAAATCTAGAGTTCTAGCCCTACCTGTTCCTATAACTCCGAATCCAAATATCCAACTGCTTATTTGACTTTGCTACATGAACGCTTAAAAGACATCTCGAATGAGTGTCAAGTGAGTCAAAACACAACTCATTATTTACATGTTACCAAAACTGATCTTTACTCACCATTCCTGAATCAGTAAATAACTATCATCCACCCACTTGTTCAAAGCAAGTCTCAGAAGAATCCTAGGTGTCTCTGTTTTCTTTCTTCATGACTTCCCAACACACATAGAAACAGCAACATGTAGACCTGTTGGTTCTTCCTCCATCCTATCCCTCAGTCTGCTCACTTTTCTTTCCTCCACTACTAACGGTGTGGTACCAATTACAGTTTTCTTTCACCTGGACTCTTTCAATAGCTCTTGTCCAATTCCTCTCTCCCTCTCTCTGTTCTCCCCTTCCCTCTCCTCTCCTCTCTTCTCTTCTTTGTTTCAAGGACAGAGAACTTCCGTACCTCATTTTATAATCAACAAAGCCAGTCTCCTAAACTCCTCTTGAACATAAAAAATAACAGTGGAAATGGCATTTAACATTTTTATCTTACAGAGAGCTATTAAAGCTCAGAGAATAAAAAATGTCTTGTACATACAGTGATTTAAATGCAGAGTTAGACAATACATCAAAAGGTTTCTTGAGGTACAGTCAGTGAACCTGGAAACTCTTCTATATAATAATAACAAGCATAAACTTTGTTAATTTTAAGTATTTTTAAGTCTGCTGTATTATAATAATCAGATAGCTAATTATAATATTTATATGGCTAAGTCGTGTGTTGTTTTATTTTCGTTTAGTGAGGATATAAGAACTACATAATTCTAAATATTTAAGGCCTTTCAGAATTATTCGTCTATCTAAAGACAAAGTAATACATACTTTCAGTTATCTTTATTGCTCAGTAATTTAAGAAGTAATGCAACTTAGAATCACTTCATTTATAAAGGAAACAAATTATTTCATCTACCTAGGATCAGGCAAATATCAGATTAGTTTACAATGCATAGGTAAATAGCTTCGAGGAGATCATTTTGTACTGTAAACACAAAGTTTTTTTCTAAATGTATTATCTGTTTTACTTTGTTGTAGTTGTTATGTTGTTTTGAGGTGTTTGTTCTGGGGCTTTTTTTGGTGGGCAGAGGCAGGAGATACAGAAACAGTGACATATCTGCTCATTCCAAAGCTGAAAAGTAAAATCAATATTACTCAAGAAGCAACTCTGAGCCTGTTTATCTCAGTGTATTTTCTTCTAAGCTGCAGTAATGAGCCTCTAAAATTGTTAGAGTATACACAGATAATAATCAGTGAGTTTTTTCACATAGCTTCTGGAAAAACTGCTTTGTGTTCCAGTTTTAATTAGTGTATTATTATCCATTGCTAATTTGAGGGATTTAGTCTAGAATTAGTGCACAGCTGCAGAGAATGCAAGCACATGAATTGCTTGGATTAGCTGGAGTTCAAACAAAGGGGAAGGAGTAAATGAGGGGAGATGCAACAAACCATATCCTCCAAATAACTTCCAAAATTTCCCAGCTATTACCTATAATTTAAAAGTAAATTCCTCGATGGGAAAGAAGCTGTGTTTCTACATCTGGATTGTTTTACAATAACAAAATATAGAATTACCTCTTTTTTTTTTTAAATAGTTAAGACATTCAGAAAACTAAAGAGAATAACTTAACATAGACTCACTTAACTACTTTCAAGATTTGACAAATATCAAAATGTTTCCTTATTTGCTTTACATTTTTCTAAAAGCAATAAAATTCTGCAGAAGCAGCTAGGACCCTTTGGAGTCCTCCTAAGCCCACTCTTCACCCCATTCTCTTCTCTCTCATCACAGAAGTAACCAGAAATCTAGAGCTAGTGCAAGTACTCCCCACCTAGGTGTTTATATTTTGCCAGATGTATGTAGATTTACAACATGTACAGTTTTTCTTCATGTTTACACCTTACGTAAATGATAACATGGTATATACATTGTACTACTGCATCTTATTTTTTAATCCAACCTTATGTTGGGATGATTTCTCCATTATGAAACATATACCATTGAGTGTTCATTTTCACAGCTATAACAAAAATCATGTCTTTTTAGTGTACATGTGCTGTGATAGGAATCATTTAGAGCAGAGTTTCTCAAGCACAGCAGTACCACCCCAGGAGCATTTGGAAAAGCAAAAAACATTCTTTATATGACAAAGTATTAGTTTCCTAGGGCTGCCATAACAAAGTGCCACAATTGGGGTAGCTTGAAGAATAGAAATTTATTTTCTCCCAATTCTGGACGCCAGACATCCAAGATCAAGGTGTCAACAATATTAGTTTATTCAAGGCCTCCCTCCCTGGCTGTAGAAGCTGTCTTCACGTGGTCTTCCCTGTGGAATATGTCTCTTCCTGTCTCCTCCTCTTAAAAGGACACCAGTCATGTAGGATCAGACCTTACCCTAATGACCTCAGTTTAATTTAATTACCTCTTTAAGACCCTATCTCCAAATGCAGTCATATTCTGAGGTACGGTGGGTTACAACTTCAACATATGAATTAGGGGATGGGGACACAATTGACCCCCCACAACACAGGTTGCTACTGGATAGAGCGGGCAGGGTCCAGCCAAGAAACCTGAACATCTTGCAATGAACAAAGGCATGGTTCTGCACCCTGGATTGTCAATAGGACACTCCTTTAGGATGTAAACCAGCAAGTAGAATTCTTGGGTTGGAAGCATTCATCTGTGGTTCAACTTTATTACGTACTATCAAAATACTCTTCAAATAATTATACCAATTTAAATTCCCAAAAGCAGCATCTAGAAACTCAAATTTCTTCCATCCTTGCAAACAGTTGATGTGTTCTCACATACCTGACAACATGGGTATGAACTACTGTTCATTGCTTTACTTTTCACTTCTTTGATTCCAAATGAGGTTAGATATGTCTTGCATATGAATAGGTATAGGCATCATTCCAGTTGTCTGCTCTGTGAACTACTTTTGTATAACATTTACCCATTTTTAATTTTGTATTTATTCTTTATATTCTAGATAGTGTTCTTTTGTTGCTTCTACATTTTTCAGATACCTTCTCCCACCATGTGATTTATCTTTAACTTTGCTTCAGGTGTCATACTGAAGAATAGTTCAATGTAGTAATATTTATTAGTAATTTTCTTCATGTAAGTGGTGTTTGAACTACATGTAAGAAAGCATTCTCCCAGAATCATAAAGATATACTCTTCTATTTCTTTTTAAAAATTCAAAATTTTGCCTTTCAAATTAAGGTCTTTACCTAGATTTTATTTTTGTTACTATGCAAGGTAGGAATTTATTTAATTTTTCAATATGAATAGACAATGAGCCCATCATCAATTAGTGAATATAATTTTCCTATCTCTCTCAAATAATAATTTCCCAATTAAGTATGATTCTATTTCTGAGTCCTCTACTTTGACCCATTTGTCTACATGTCTATGCTACCATCTGGAATGTCATAACTGCTAACTTTTTGATATGTCTTACTGTCTCCTAGGGAAATTCTATCTCCCTGCTGCTCTTCAAAATTGCCTTGGCCCTTACTCTTCCATCTGATTTTTGAATTAGCTTGTCATGTTAATGATAAGGAGAAATACATGGGAATTTCCTTGAAATTCAATATATAGATTAAATTTATAGATTAATTTGGGGGATAAAGTCATCCTTAAATATTAAGTCTTCCCATCATAAGTTAGTCTTTTTCAAAGTTATGGCTTTAAAATAAAATATTACAATTTATTCACATATTATGCGTCTTTAGATTTATGTATATTTATCTTAAAATGTCTGTTGCTGTTATCAATGTTATGTTTTCTTTGATAAATTATTATGTTGGTATTAATGGGTTACTAAGGAGGTACTTTTGATTTTTGAATGTTGGTCTTAGATTCCAGCACAGTTACTAAATTATCATTTTAGTTCTCACAGCTCATCCCTAGATCTTTTCTTTCTTTCTTTTTTTTTTCTTCTTTCTTTCTTTCTTTCTTTCTGTTTCCCTCTATTTCTTTCTTCTCTCCCTTCTTCCTTCCTTCCTTCCTTCCTTCCTTCCTTCCTTCCTTCTTTTTTCTTTCTTTCATTTAAGTAGCCTTAGGGGTACAGTGGTTTTGGTTACATAGATGAATGGTATAGTGGGGAAATCTGGACTTTTAGTGTAAATAGTGTACATTGTACCTAATAAATAATTTCTCATCCGTCACCCCTTCCCCTTCCGAGTCTCTAATGTCTGTTATGCCACCCTGTACGCCTTTGCATACCCACAGCTTAGTCCTCATTTATAAATGAGATCACTCAGTGTTTGGTTTTTTATTTCTGAGTTTCTTCACTTAGGATTCTTATATTTCATATGTAGATAGTCGTATCAACCACAAATGATCAAACATTTTCTTTTTTAAATTCTTATTTCTTGTTTTCATATTTGAACATTTGCTAGAGCCTTTGTAAAAATATTGAATTAGGTCAATTAGTATATTTAATTTCTGTCTTTCAATGAGAATGCTTTCAAGTTTAACCATTAAGCGTAAATGTTTGTTATAGGTTTTTAGTAGATACGCTTTAACACTTTCCTAATCACAGTTTGCAAATAAATTTTAAAGATTAAGCACTTTTATTTTAACCCCAAAATTCTGTATGTATGAAAATTATCGAATGGTTCATATCATTTAATCACTTAATG